CGTTCCCTCCTTCAGGGAACGAGGGTTACCATACGTAACCGAGACGTTATCTTAAATATACATACATTTCTTTAAATATATATATATTTTTTATAAATTTAATTTAATTGCAAATAAAAGTCTCAGTACAGTATTTGTCCATCTGTGATATTTCCTTGAGGGCAAAAAGAATCAATCCAAACAAATGACCATTAAAATACCACTGTCATTGTTCTGTACCTCCTTCTCCAGCATTAGACCTTCCGCCCGCAGGTTCCTCTCAAATGTGCACCTCTTCTCCACCTGAGGGCTGGATTTCTTATAGACTAATATATAGTCAATGCGCTTCTTCCCATCTCTAAACATCAATCCTGAGGGGTTTTCTAAATTGTTCCCCTGAAAAAAGAATCGGAACATTTCTTAATTTCATTAAATTTTATTAGAAAATATTAAACAATAGTTCTGTTCAGTTTTAGTCCTAAAACGTTTCAGGCATTGGTTCCCTCAGGAATTTCAAAATTCACTTTTGAGGTACGAGTGTAATTTATGCTGTAGAACAAAATGGGAAATACACTTCAAATAACATTTTACCACAGACCTTTTTGTATTTCTAAATCAAAAACTACTTTTCTAAAAACCCATTCGAATTTCCTGAGGGAATTTTTCAGTGTTGGCTTACAAATAAACATTATTGAATATCATCTCGATATTCTGCTGAATCAACTTTTAATTGTGAGAAAGAATAAACATGTTATGTGATAAGCGCTTATAAATGGGTGCTACTCAAGGTAAAAAAAAATGTTACTCAAGATCTGATTTAATTCATCATCAAACACAGATCTTGAAGCTGAGTTGGCAGCATATCAGCAGGTAAGAGGAGAGATGTTGTACCTGTATGGAGTCTGTGCGGGCCTCTAGCTTTGCTCTGGACACTGGCTTCTGCTGGACATGTAATGTTTCATCTGTTTTAGGCTCAAACTCCCCCGCCTCCCTCTCTTCCATATAGACATCCTGACTAGTGTCTGTCCAAGAGAGAAACATTGGGTTTTATGAGGTCAACACGTTAAAATGAAGTGGTGATGAATATGGATGTGGATAAAACACAACTTTCAGAAATTATTCAGTATCATGTTGAGTTAACCATTATTAATCACATGGCATTCATAACCCAGGTTATTGGCTCAAAAACAAACAAACAAACAAAATCTTTACCCATGAGTAAAGATGGCATCATGAGGGTCACATACGTCTAGAGGCGTGAGATTGGGAATAGCTTTCTTGGGGTATTACAGACCTAACTGGATTTGACAGGCTGGGTTTCGATTGACAATGGGCTTTGAATTCAAGCAACGAGCCATTACATTTCTGCTAACACAAAGTTAGTGCTTTCATCACCAACATTTGTCTAATTTATCTTCTCTATTCTGAGATCGCTGCTGACTGCTGCAGCTGGTAACCCTCATTAGCTCTACAGGTGTTTAGACAAGACAGCTTGTTCCAAGTGCTGCTCTAAGGTTCTCAGTGAAGATGCTGGAATCATTTCCAAGTGCTGACATTGCCGGACTCCTCTAAGAACAGCATTACATGTTCCCTTGAGTTTAGTACCACCCACTAATGGTCATCATTTTGAACACTCCTGCCAGAAGATCTTTTAGCAAAAGCACCTGACCTGATGAGGTCAACACAAAAGCAGAATGAATAATGGATAATGAGATGGTCCTTTCTAAGCCAGCTGATTTTCATAGTTATTCTGTGCCTTTAGTCCACATGCATACAGAGAAATGTAAGGTCTGCCTTTTGTAGTGACAGTTCTAAGAACAACAGTAGGACTAAACCGTTACCTGAGTGACAATAGGTGATGGTTTGGATCTGATTCATCTCACTGGCCATGATATTCTGCTAATGTATGCAGCCCTAGAAATATGTGACCTGCATACTGTCATTTTTGCTCATGGGCACTCAGTTATGGAAATATTTATCTTGTGACACTCTTAAACTATTACTAAACTATTACTTAAATGTGATTACAGCCTTGGAACATATAGTTTGTGTCTTCGGAGGCAGTAGCTCCCTGCCGTTCCTTAGCCAGTTCTCCACGCAATACAGTTTTGGACCGTGGCATCCAACCCTTCTTCACAGCATGGGGTACCATCCCCCTAAGGAATATCGGGCACCACTTTTCCAATAAGTCCCTTGGTTCTGAAGTTTGGCTGTTCCCTGCTAATGAGTCACTTCACCCCACATATCTCAAGCTCTGCCTCACATCAGTAGGGTAGATGAGAGAGAGCACTTGATACCTCCCGATTATTCGGCTCCACGCAATACAGTTTTGGACCGTGGCATCCGACCCTTCTTCACAGCATGGGGTAGCACCCCCCTAAGGAATATCGGGCACCACTTTTCCAATAAGTCCCTTGGTTCTGAAGTTTGGCTGTTCCCTGCTAATGAGTCACTTCACCCCACATATCTCAAGCTCTGCCTCACATCAGTAGGGTAGATGAGAGAGAGCACTTGATACCTCCCGATTATTCGGCAGCATGGTGACTTCTGCCAAATGTGTCAGTTGGGACAAATGAGATGATATGGTCTCCGGGAGTCCATGAGCTAGGTGGCCTTCAAGGTCCACACCCCAGCCTGTAAGAGAGGCATCCATCAAAATTGTTTTTCAATGACAACACGCCCCTAGTGGGGCACCCTGAGCCACAGAAGAAGGGTAGGAAGGCACCTGCGCATAACCCTTAAAAAGCCTCTGCTTTTGAGCCACCATTGAAATGGTCTCATATGGAGTAGGCCCAATGGAATGACTGGGGACGCTGCAGCCATGAGAGAAATAGGCTGACTGGAATATCCTAGCCTAGCTTAAAGCTGTCCACACAGGCAAGTTCGACCAGACACGAGCAGGGATAAAGTTGCCTGCATTGTGGTCGAATCCCATTGCATTCCTAGAAAAGTCTGTCTTTTCTTGGAGAAAGCACACTTTTCTTGGAATTCAGTCTAAGACCTAGACACCATAACTGAGTGAGAACAACATTTATATGTTGGACTGCTAAAGCCTCACACCGAGTTAAAATTAGCCAGTCGTTGAGGTAATTCTGTACATTAATGCCCTTGAGTCGCAGTAGAGCCAGAGCTGTGTCCATGCACTTCATAAAAGTAAGAGGTAACAATCTCGAAAGTATAGAAAAAAATATATATACAAAAATTAAAAAGGAGATACAAACACACGACACAGGGGCCATTCTTTTTATTTTTTATTATTATTTAATTTTTTTTAAAGCAAGTCGTTTAAGTCATGCGAACGATACTGCGGTGGCTGTTGATGCTAGCGGGTTTGGTGTCTCGTGTCGCAAATCCAACGACCACTGGTAGTGACGATTCTCTCTGACTAATCAGTGATCTGCAGTGTTAACACGTTACATTTTAGTTTTGGTACGGCTCGCTTGGAACCTCAACCAGGGTGGTACTATTTAAGTGAGCCATGCCGAACCATACCATGCCGTGGAAAAGCGTCATAACTTGTTGTGGAGATCCTGGAAGAAAGGAAGCCACCTAAGAGGAGGATGAGTGCTTTGACCTGATAGAAAACATTTGTCTAGATTACTTTGGGACACTTTCAGTTCTTATATGTTGGACTGCTAAAGCCTCACACCGAGTTAAAATTAGCCAGTCGTTGAGGTAATTCTGTACATGAATGCCCTTGAGTCGCAGTGGAGCCAAAGCTGTGTCCATGCACTTCATAAAAGTAAGAGGTAACAATCTCGAAGGGAAGGTACGCTTCATATGCGAAAGCGAACCTGAGAATTGTTTTGTCATTGGTACAATCTGAATATGAAAACAGGCATCCTTTAAACCTATCATGACAAACCAGTCTGACTGAAAAATTGGTGCCCATTATTCTCTTGAGGGAAGACAGTCCTAACAACCTCTTGTTCCCCAGTACCCTCCGAGGAGGTGTCAGGCACTACGCTCCAGCAGCCATGCTGTGCAGAAAACCCACTGGGAACTGCTGCCTCCCCATAACACAGAATGTGGCTGGTTTAACAAGATAGCCTTGAGGGCATTGAGGAAGAAAGAGCACACAATGTTATGGTGTGTCACACTCTCCCCTGAGGGGGCTTGCCCTCAGAACCCTGAACGCCTTGGCATCAGGGCTGATCTTTTCTGGCAGACCAGGAGGAAATGACAAATCTCAGGTCCAGCTTTCAATTGGACTGCTGAGACTAACACTTCCCCTTGCTAGTGAGAGCTACAGCCAGGTTTAACCACAGGTGCAGCTTCGTGGCAGCCATACCAGCCACTGAATGGCCAATAGTGCAGGCCGTTTTCTTTGTGGCATGGCAGAGTTCCGACAGAGTGATGGTGTACTGTAGCCTGAATTAGGCCTTACCAACCATACTAGATGTAACTTTACATGTTCTGGAAGGTAATGATGGTCCTCTCCAGGGCGTGCAAAAGAAGGTGAGAGATAGTTAGCTAACGTCTCTTCAACCTTAGGCATCGATGCATTCCCATGCTCTGCCAGCCCTGCGACAGATGAATAATTAGACAGGTTGATGAAGTGAGTTGAATAAGGCTTCTCCCAGGACCTTGCTAATGGCGCTTTTCCACTGCGTGGTACAAGCTGGCTTGGCAACGGCACGGCACGGCTTGGCTCACTTGCTTTTCCACTGCAGTTAGTACCGCTTCAAAGTAGGTGGCAATATTGACTAGTTGTGCCGCCTCTACTGCCGTGACATCATTGTAAACGCGAGACACAAACGTGCGTATAGAAAAAAAAATATATACAAAAATTAAAAAGGAGATACAAACACACGACACAGGGGCCATTCTTTTTTTTTTTTTTTTTATTTAATTTTTTTTTAAAGCAAGTCGTTTAAGTCATGCGAACGATACTGCGGTGGCTGTTGATGCTAGCGGGTTTGGTGTCTCGTGTCGCAAATCCAACGACCACTGGTAGTGACGATTCTCTCTGACTAATCAGTGATCTGCAGTGTTAACACGTTACATTTTAGTTTTGGTATGGCTCGCTTGGAACCTCAACCAGGGTGGTACTATTTAAGTGAGCCATGCCGAACCATACCATGCCGTGGAAAAGCGTCATAACTTGTTGTGGAGATCCTGGAAGAAAGGAAGCCACCTAAGAGGAGGATGAGTGCTTTGACCTGATAGAAAACATTTGTCTAGATTACTTTGGGACACTTTCAGTTCTTCCTCAGGCCAATTCAAACTGAGTTTGTCTATGGCACGAGTTAACACATCAGTTAATCAGTGAGGTACTGTAATTGTCTTTTTATCACTGTGTGTGGAAACATCACCCTGTTCAACATTTAACTTCACAGAGTAAGATGCAGCCAGTATCAGGACCTCATGAAGACTGAAAGAAATCGCAGAGTGAGCTTTCGGGTCTGCCAACATGTAAAATACTTGAGAATTGCCATGAGATTGTGTTGATATTACCATATTCAACCACAAGCTAATTGAAATACAAAGAAAAAAGTTTGCTAGTTCGTACCTGTGGGAGGAGGTGTGATGTGTGTGCAGGAGGCACTGACATTGTGAGTGTATGTTTTGGGTTCAGGACTCAGAGGCACAGACAGGAAGTGATTGAGGTTCTGAGGATGCGTCTGACTCTGAGCCAGACACGGCAAACTGCGACGAGACGACTTTAGCGTTTTCTCCTTCAAAATCTCACTGATACTGGTGTGCATACCTGCTGAGAGAGAAACATAGAAATACATAATTGAGACAGTGGATTAAAAATACCAACATTTACACTTTGAATATAAAAATAGATTATCTTTAAAAAGGCATTTTTCGTTCTGTTGTACATGTCTCAACAATCAGTATTTGATCCAAATACTCTGTAATGCAATATAGTACCAGTAAAACTCACTTACACTATCAAATACAAAGGTATAATGATCACATCAAGGATAACCAGTGTATTACATTTACTTAATTAAATAACTCCTGGAAGCACAGTCATTCTTTATTGACTCACAAGGTCATCTATGGATAAAGGATTCACTAACTGCATTTCAGAACCATGTGGGCCAGATACTGTTCGATTGTTTGCAATAGTCAGAAGAAACAGAAGATGCTGTTTTGGTACACATAATAATCTCCATTAAAGGGGCCATAAACTAGCTGACATGGAAAAGTTGACAACACTTTATTAGTGTTGGAGGTAACGCATTACAATTAATGTGAGTTACATAATCAGATTACTTTTTTCAAATAACCAGTGAAGTAACGCATTATTTTTTAATTTACAAGAACATTTCTGAGTTACTTTTTCAAATAAGTAATGCCAGTTACTTTGTTTTCCCATTTATTGACTGGCAGCTCTCCTGTCCTCATGTTGAGAGAAATCAGGAGAGAGTGCAGAGGCGTTGTGTGCGCTGTGAGAACATGATGTTACTGTAGTTGTAGACTAAATGTGAACATCCATTTATCATCTCACTTGCTCAAAAACAGACTATGTTTTATATATATGTCTATATATATATATATACATATATATATATATTTTTTTTTATTGCTGAAGAGTGTTGAATTTTCTTCTCCTGCATCCTATTCTTCATGCAATCCAGAACAGCAGCACAGCTGAAGGTTTGTTTGAGCTGCGCCCTCTACTGTACAGACGTGAATTTACATTTGATTCAGCCTGAGATTTGTTCATTTCACTTTGGGTGTGAAAGAGCTTTTACATTTGCCAAAAATAGAAATGTTTATATTAAAAACAAACCAGTAAGCCCAGTCCAGATGTGAAATAGTAAAGCAAAAGTAACATAACAAAAGGTCACTAAGTAACGCAACTAGTTCTTTTTTAGGGAGTAACGCAATATTGTAATGCATTACTTTTAAAAGTAACTTTCCCCAACACTGCATTTTATAATAAGGTTTAATTTGTAACATAAACGTTAACAGTTTATTGTTATTAATGTTAGTCAATAAAAATAAAATAGTTTATTCATTAATTGTTAGTTCACAGTGCATTGAATAAAGAATGAATGAATGAATGAATGAATGAACGCATAAGAATCAGCAATGAACAATAGTATATTTACAAATTAATAAATGCTGCAATAAAAGTTGTTTATTGTTAAAATGGTCCCCTCAGTAGAAATCGCATTCCGTGAGGGCCCACCTGGACCTTTAGTAATTGCGTGGTGCCTAAACACGCTACTGTTAACTGTTAATGAACAAATGTAGCCTTATTTTAAAGTGTTCCTGAAAATACATATTTTAATAAACTTTAAACTCAAAAGATATCATTTTTAAATGCATAACAACATCACTTATCAGAAACATACAACATAATTTTAAAATGTAAGTCTCATTTTAATATAATCAATTATGGTGAATGTATTCTGAATGTGCATTCTGTAGCTGCATTTTATCAACTAATATGCATGAAATGAATGATAATGTGGCATAGCAGAGTGAAATTAACCCTGCTTGCAAAAAAAAGAAAGAAAGAAAAACAACATACACTGTATATTTTAGTACATGTTAGATATATTGAAATGATTGATGTTGTGACATTGTGCTTGTTCAGTTGTTGACATATTGAACCTAAAAACGAACCTAACTCTGTCAACATATTGAATCTCTATTCAATACTCAATTATGCAATAATTCATATAAACCAAACATTTGAAAAGCAATTGCTTTCCCATACTACTTTGAAAATGAGGGTGGGACAATTAAGCAGGCTAAGATGATAAAATATGTAAGGTGTTTACCTTAAAAAGAATGTTACATCAGGGAAGTAATGTCAAAGATTGATTGCTAAGTGAATGCTTTACAGCTGCCATTATACTAACAGTGGACAGCAATACTGATGAAGGCAACTTAATCCTCTTGGGAGCAATTTTCAGTCTATGAATGTAATATGAGATGATTATCCTCAGTGTATGCAAGGAATGACCCATATGGCCCTTTTGATATGCCTTTAACAAACATAGTTTCATGCATGACAGATTCAAATGTATAAATTAATTTACATTCAGATAAATATAGACATCTTTGTTAATGTTTCTAATAAAAGTTAATATACACTCTGCTGCTTCTCATTCTCAGATATTTACTGTATAACATAAATGAATTTAAAATAACAATTTGCCGAAACTCACCATAAAAACAAAACCCTTGAATACCAGAATGCTAGCAGAAGCTGCTGTCAAATCTGGATAAATGACTCCACATAACCATTTAGTGTAAAACCATTCTACAATGTGATGACAGCATGAACGTCTGATTCAAGGTCACACTGACACACATCCAGTGAAAAGCTCATTTGTAAGCCAGTGTTGGAGAGATCACTAGCTGGGAAAATGCCTGGTCTTCCCCACATGACTGCACATAGATAGCTGCACATAGCTGATGTGGAATTCCTCTCATACTGACCTTGTCCATGATGGCTGCATCAATCTAACCACGGCTGGCCTTTTAAATAGAGCTAACATGAAACAAGAAGCAATTATTTTAGAGCATAGAACCCAAAGCGCACAGACAGAGAGGCACAGAAAGTTCAAACACATGCAGGACTGAATTAATCTAGATTCTCTCACATTTTGGATGGATCATATACTCAAAATTCAGTACAAGGCATGGACAAGTCATGAATCTCAAATGCTCAGCCCTAAAATATCTTCTTCCTGTAGCATTTTGACTCAAGAGAGAAATAATGGATTTTTTTTTGCCTGTAACCCATTTTGCTGCATAAAGAAGTAGATATTTACTCTAATTTGAAGATGATGTGAGTGGTGCTTTCATGTGAACAACTCTCCACCACCAAGATTGAGTGTTATCAGTGGTTGTTTCGAGTGTTTTTTGGTTTATTCAGTCAGCAGCTATCTCTGATATGTGCATAACTCCGAAACACTGCCGTAACGACATTGGCATCTGAGGACTGCTCACTATTTTTGATCCCTGTCGTTTTGTTGAAGTATGTTGGTAACAACGGAACTTGCAACCATAGTCGGCTCATTGTTTCAGGTCCCTCCTCCTGTAAATCTATGGACTTATTTTACTGTCGATAAGTCCTGAGATTAAAAATGCAAAAGCACACCGCTTGATTTGAGGCATCATTCATGTTCGCATTGCAAACGGTGCAGGAAAATTTACACGCATGTACAGTATATGACCTATAATTTACAAAACCACTGGACAAAAATACATATACATGTTAATGAACAACACAATACAATGCCTCTTTTCAAGAAATATCTGATTCACCTTTTTCCTAAGAGAGAAGGAGTACTATAACCCTATTATTACCACAAAAATACCTTGAAATGTAATTAATCATTTCAGCCCTTGTAAAAAAAAAAAAAAATGCTGTTTTATGCTGTTGTAAGAGCAGGTGGTTCTCGTTAAGGTTTATATAAAAATAAATATATTCAATATATAAATATATAAAAGCCTATTTGGCCCAGATTTTAATCTAGCTCTGAGCTCATACTGGCTTGTCAGGAAAAGAAACATAATCCTATGCTTTATGGAGGTACAGTATATGAGGGTTAAAGTGAAGAATTAAATAAAAATGAGAGTGCAACACAACAATTCCAATGCGCAACACAATACAAAAATATTACAGAAAGGCAGTAATGCAGAGGAAAGGAGGAAGAGAGATAAGAGTGTGATGTGTATATTGGTTGGATTCAGTCCAGTCTGTTCTGTGTAATCTTATCAAGCACATCTTCACCACCAACTGAAAACGTGAGAAACAGAAGTGACATAATAAATGTTCCCATAGAAAACAAACACTGCTGTTCATGCAGCACCATGCTTGCTGTGTCAGGGGCGAAAAATCTGCAATCCTGGATTTATCCACGGAGGCAAAGCCAATAGGACCTTGTGATTGAGTGAGATTATAGTGTGTGTGTGTGTGCACGCGTTTTTGTGACAAATGAGGACATAAATTTGTATAATGACAAAGGTATGACATAGGTATTACAAGGAGAAGGTGACTTTTCAGGACATTACCCCATGTCCCCACTTTTCACAAAAACAAACCTGTGTGTGTGTGTGTGTGTGTGTGTGTGTGTGTTCCTGCTGCACGCTCACACACGTGTCCCACCTGTACAGTTCGATTCTCGACCTCAAACCTGCATTTCACCACTATAATAAAGATAAAGAGGTACTCTAAACAGATCAAGAGTCTCATTGCATGTAATCCAAGTACAGCTGTGTGCTTTTCACGTATCATTCCAGCTTTCGATTTCCATTTTTAAACAACACACTGTGAAATGCTACATAGTGTATTCCTGCAGCTATGTATGTGTTTAAAAATATATATAATAATGATAATGACTTAATTACGGACTAAAATGGCTTACTTACTTTTCACACACCATTATACATTTCGATATAGTTTCTACTCAGGCAAGTTATGACCCTAGATAATTAATTATACTGTATATAATTATCTCAAGATGACTCACAGTTGAACTTTTAGGTGTTTTGTATTTGCTGCATTTTAAGTTCAGTTCTCAGCTGCACCATTGCATATTATAAGAAACGACGTGCAGAAGACAGACTCTATTTGCCAAAATGTGCAGTATACCTCAGAGAATACTGCTTGAATACTGTGTCACATAATGCAAATAATGTGTCCCACAATGCAATGTGCTTCCATTTTGAATTGTGACAAATGAACTGGAACTAATTTCAACCTTGACTGAGATCAGCATCTCCTTTATG